ATTTTGCACTCATCATGCGTTGGGTTTCTTTCCGACAATTCTTTTTACCTACATATTTTTGGCTGAAAAACGCGAATTTGATAAAAAACCATTATTAACTCAGATATTTCACTTCAATACAAAGTTACAAATTTCCCCTTTTTTTCGCCTGTCTGCTAAATCGCATTCGGAACAATTTGCCTTTCTTTTATCATCATTGAACAATTTATACAGGGTAACTCACGGTCGATGGTACGTTAGACGTTTATGGAGAACGCAACGCAGGATTTTTCTGAAAATTTCGCATCTCACATTTTATCACCTGTTCTATCGATCTAAAATATTTTCGAAAGTGCGACATTGCCGTTTCTATCAAAAAGTCCTAGCAATTTATTTTTTTTAAATGGAACACTCCGTATATTAACGAATTTTTAGAATTGCCTTTTTATTACAATACTCTTTTGTCGATAAATCCCTATACCTATCTCTATCGGTTTTCGAGATGAAGAATAATTTGTGTTAAATATGATCCAAAACATATCCCTAATTAAACTTATGTAAATCAGGGCTCTCGAATCATAAAGAGTTGATATTCCAGTGGTGGTTTGGACAGGCTTGATGTATTCAATTTACACCGAGAAGTCGCCTCCATATCATACAGGGCGTGCTGGAATTATTATTATATCCGTTGTTCATACAAGTGGTCAAAAGTTCATTTTTTCAAATGGAACCCACTGTTTTTTACTCAATAAATTGAAAGACGAATAAAAATGCTACAAGATGACATAGCATGTCCCTATACCTAAATCATCAATTTTATGAAAAAGTTAATTTTAGATAGCCATGAAAATATCAAACTCATGACAGTTCGGTGACATTAATGAGTAATTCAGTAATTGTTATTCACAGTGTTTCAAAAAAAAACTCCCAGAATGAACGCAAATATCGATTATTCAAACGAAGTTCTTATGAAGTTATTTATTATACACGGACAATGTGATCAAATCATTGCCAGAACTTGCAGAAAATGCAACCAAATGTATCCTGAATTGACACCAATGAACAAGAGGAAGTTTGTAAGATTACAAAATAATTTCATCAACTATGGCTCAAAGTTTCCAACAACTCTATCAAAAATCAGCTTAACTAGCATATCTAGGTAAAAGGCTAGATTCACTGTGAAAGTACAGAAAATAACAGAATTAAGAGGAACGAAAGTAACAAAAGTATGAACAAAATATCACCTTTTCACAATAAATGCTCGAAATGTTGTCCATTACATTCTAAACATTTCAGAATATGCTTTTGTACGCGACTCGTGGTTGCCTTTTGAATTTCATGAGGATCCAAATCTTCAATACACCGCACTATTCGCCGTCGCACTTCTTCTTTGGTAGGCACTGGAGTACTGTACACCCTTTCTTTTAAAACACCCCATAAAAAAAAGTTTTAAACGGCCAAACCAACGATCCTCAAACATTTCGTAAAGTTTCCTGGAAACTTCCTGAGTTGAATGAGCTGGCGCCCCGTCCAGTTGGAACCATGAATTCCTATATTCCTCTAAAGGCAAATTTTTGAGGAACTCTGTCACAGTCGTCGTCAATATTTGAATATATCTCTCAGCATTCAGTGTGCCATCGTAAATGAAAAAGCTGATTTTATTATTTTTTTAAATACAGAAAACATTTAGGTCAAATTTTACTGGAAAACCGATTTCTTTTGTTATATGAGGATTATGATCATTCCAAAAATGCTCATTTCTTCTATTCAAAATCCCATCCCTCGTCAATTTTGATTCGTCGCTACAAATTATTTTCGACAAAAATTCCGGATCCTCCTGGGGGGCTTCGCAAAAATGCACTCTCCGCTCGAAGTCTTCTGCATTGAGAGCTTGAACTTTACTGAATTTATACGGATGCATTTTGTGATTTCTCAAAATTCTTTGTACTGATGCATGTGATACACCCAAATCTTTTTCTGCACTAAGAATGGATGTTCCTGGATATGCATGAAACTATGCCAAAACGACAACAATATTGTCTTCATTCTAAGTAACAGGTTTTGGTAATGTTGGAGGCGCTTTTAACTTTAAGCCATAGTTGATGAAATTATTTTGTAATCTCACGAACTTCCTCTTGTTCATTGATGTCAATTCAGGATACATTCGGTTGAATTTTCTGCAAGTTCTGGCAATGATTTGATCACATTGTCCGTGTATAATAAATAACTTCATGAGAACTTCGTTTGAATAATCGATATTCGCGTTCATTCTGTGGGAGATTTTTTGAAACACTGTCAATAACAATTACTGAATAAATGTCACCGAACTGTCATGAGTTTGATATTTCCATGGCTATCTAAAATTAACTTTTTCATAAAATTATATTTTTCACAAAAAGCGGCTTTATTAAGAAAACTTGATGATTTAGGTATAGGGGTTCCATTTGAAAAAATGAACTTTTGACCACTTGTATGAACAACGGATATAATAATAATTCAAGCACGCCTTGTATGATATGGAGGCGACTTCTCGGTGTAAATTGAATACATCAAGCCTCTCCAAACCACCACTGAAATATCAACTCTTTATGATTCGAGAGCCCTGATTTACATAAGTTTAATTAGGGATATGTTTTGGATCATATTTAACACACATCATTCTTCATCTCGAAAACCGATAGAGATAGGTATAGGGATTTATTGACAAAAAAGTATTGTAATAAAAAGGCAATTCTAAAAATTTAAAAAAATCAAGTTGCTAGGACTTTTTGATAGAAACGGTAACGCCGCAATTTCGAAAATATTTTAGATCGATAGAACAGGTGATAAAATGTAAGATGCGAAATTATCAGATAAATCCTGCGTTGCGTTCTCCATAAACTTCTAACGTACCATCGACCGTGAGTTACCCTGTATATCACGATGTACTTCAATGACATATTTTTTCATATATGAAAGTCAACTAAAAAATATTATTTTCTTGCGATCTATGTGAGAAGAAAGAAGAATATTATTCAGAATGGTGGCGTGTGTAACGTCATTCAAAAGCAATCTATTGACATCTGACATCTCTATTTGGATTGATTGTCGATTAAATGGCCGTTATCTGGTATGATTGTTCACTAAATATAAAAAACTGGACATAAAAATCATATTCCGTGTTGAATTTTCTATATAAAAATGTGTCATTTGGAGTACATCATCAGTATACAGGGTATGTCACGACTAGCTTATACTATCTCTATATCAAGAATCAGTCAAGAGAAATTCATGGAAATATGCATGCTTATATTCGAGAATACGCATTCTTCATTTGAAATATTTTCAGCAATGCAGTGTTGCCGCTTCTATCAAAAAGTAGCAACAACTATGTTATCTCAAATAGAATAACCAGAATTTCATTGCATTTTTAGATTCTCCCTGGAGAGTTTATTTCATCGAACTATCACACTTGGGGTCTTTCGGAGATGATTACAGAGATATAGGGTGTTCAAAATCGAGATTTTTCAACTTTAGGATTTGTTTGTATCGAAACTATTCATTATCGGCCAAAACAGCTCACATGTCCCTATCTCAACTTATGATTTACTATTCACTGATATTCAATTAGAACATATACAGGGTGATCAGAATTCTGAGACTTGACCCACCCTGTATCTGTTCCGATTGAATATCAGTAAATAGTGTATCAGAAGTGGAGACAGGGACATGTGGGCCGTTTTGATCGATAATGAATGTCTCGACTTTGAACACCATACATCTCTGTAATCTTTTTTGATAGTCCTCAAGTGTGATCTATCGACGAAATCTGCTTCTTAGGGAGAATCTGAAAATGTGATAGAATACAGAGTGTTAAATTTGAAATGCTACTACTTCCTAGTAGAAGCTTCTAAGACAGCGAGAAAAAAAAGCAAAATTACGAACTTTTTCTTGAAATATCTCGATAAATAGTGATTTGTTCACATTTTCATTATCAAATTCGTGTTTTTCAGACAGAACAATTTTTTCGAAAAAAAAAAACCATCGCATGATAAGTAGTTCAAGCAACGAACGCTCAAAAAAAGGTATAGAGGGAAAGTCTTGGAACACAATTTTTGACTTTGTTACTTTGTTTGGACTAGTAAGAAGGTGAACATATCAAAAGTCCCCGCCTGTAGCCCTTGAGCCAGATGGGTGGGGGGGATTTGAAAGGATGATTTTTCGGTTTTTTGCTTGTATTTCGAAAACTATGCATCCTATCGACATGACCATTCCATACAAAATGGAAGCAAATTGAATTTGCAACAAGTTTTATTCAGTAACATTTTTTCATATCTTGTATAGTTTTCGAGATATACACTCTTGAAAGTCTGTGATTTTGAAAAAAAATGGTTTCTTCACGTTTCTGCTCTTCTTGACCGGATAACTCTTCAACGATCCACCGAAAAAGTAAATGCTGCCCATAGGTTCATGAAGCAATGAATTCTTCTCAATAATAAATAATATAAATTATAAATAATGAATATCATTAGAAAGTAAGTAAGCCCGAAATGAGATATCGTGCAATAGGATGTTATGCAACAATCTCTCGACAAATAATCCTTGTGGTGAGGATTGCTTCCCTTTTTTCAGGACAGGCATTTACTAGCCCTATTCAGTTGAGAGTGAGATGAATAAATCGACCAAGTCAGTGCTGTACAAACTATTCAACACTACGACCAAGGATGTACATGTCGCACAGCTACACATCGTATTTGACGGAGGACTCCTCCATAAAGTAATTTGCCAAAGAGGTGCCAATATATCGACAATCTGCGAGAGCTACATCCACTTTATCAAGTAGAACTAGCACGGAAGAAGATGCACTGTATAGTCTTTGATGGCTATTCCTCATCAACCTCAAGTATGAAAGTAGCAGAGCAGTAGATGCGCTATAGACTCAGGAAGTCTGCTGACATCCATTTCACCGAAGACACGGAGATAAACATCAAAACAAAAAAAATTTTTGTCGATCAAATTTCAACGAAAGCAGGTTCATCAACATGCTTAAGGTGGAGCTTGAGGACAATGGGACCAGGGCCCATCAAGCAGAAAGTGATGCGGACGTTCTGATTGTGGATACGGCTGTGAAAATATCGGAAACAGCAGCTGTCGGCATTGTAGGCGAAAATGTCGACCTCATAGTCCTCTTGATGGCTGAAGCTGATGCGCATAATGAAATTATATTTATCAAGCCTGGACGTGGGGAGACAAGGGATTCCTTATTCTCGTCTCAAGGGCTTCAGCAACTAGGTTTCAAGGACGTGCTATTTTTGCACGCATTTACTGGATACGACACAACATCTTCCGCTTTTCGAAAAAGTAAGGTCGCATTCGCGAAGTTGTATCTGAAGTCTCGAGAAGTTCATAAAGCAGCAGCGGTCTTTTCAGACCCTTCCTCCACCACCGCCCAAGTACAAAAGGCAGGTGAAACCTGCATCTTGAGATGGTATGGGGCTCCAGCTGAAGAGGTCACCCTTAATGCCTTTAGGTACAACTCGTTCTTGAAATCGGTGGCCATCATCAAGCCTGATATCTCTTCTCTTCCTCCCAGCAAGGGAGCAACAAAACAGCATTCCCTCCGAACATTCCACCACGTTCAGGTGTGGCTGGGAAATGACCTGCCTCCTCAGATGCATGGGTGGAAGATTGAGGACAACTGCTTGGTCCCAGTGTCCCAGTGCATAGTGAGTTAGCAGCTGCACCGGACGATATTCTGAAAATGAGTTTCTGCCATGCACGAGAGACTGTGCCAGCGCAAAGTGTGGCTGCAAAAAAGCAAGCCTCAAATGTTCTCTGGCATGCCAAAATTGCCAGGGGAACTGCCTGAATAGGGACCCTCAAGTGGACTCTGAAAATGAGGGAGAACAGGATGGTCCTCTGACCGGTTTCCTACAAGAAGATGAGAACGAAGACGAGGATCAAGATCTTTTCCCATCAAGAGACTGATGTGATATTTCATGTTGTTTTACTCTTCAAAGTCAATAAACTTGGTTTTTACTTGATGGTTGTGTAAAACTATCACAAGTCCTTCACTTATAGACACTCATATATGCACAAACATGGTCATAGCAATAAATTTTCCCATTAAAATGGTCTAGTTTGATTAAGTGTGAGGAATCTGGTGAGCAGACCCACAAGCATTTATAGTTTAGAATAAGTATATGTACTATTTAGACGTTCAGTACTGAATATGTTCACATAATGGTGCATATCTCGATCAATACGTTGACCGGGGATGGTGAGAAATTGATAAATTCCTTATTAGTTGAGAGATGTCGCAAAGCTTAAAATCTCATGCTAAACATTGAAACTGATTCAACATTTGAAGGAAAATAGATAAAAAAGTGAAACAATATGTATTATTGAAGAGAATTCATTGTTCTACAACCCTATGGCCACCATATACATTTTGGGTGCATCGTTGAAGAGTTATCCGGTCAAAACGAGCAGAAGAGTGAAGCAAAAATTTCCTTTTTTGAAATTTCAGACTTAGAAGAGTGGATATCTCGAAAACGATACAAGATATCAAAAAATTTGACGAAACAAAACTTGTTGCAAATTTGATGTGCTTCCATTTTGTATAGCATGGTCATGTCGATAGGACGCATAGTTTTTTAAATATAAGCAAAAAACCGAAAAATGAGCCCTTCAAACCCCCTCCCCCCATCCGGCTCAAGGGCTACGGGCGGGGACTTTTGATATGTTCACCTTCTAACTAGCCCAAACAAAGTCACGAAGTCGGAAATTGTGTTCCAAGCATTTCCCTCTATACCTTTTCGTTGCCTGGGCTAAAGGGCAAAAAACCGTTTATATTACTTTCCGTTCTAGTATCAACCCTTGAAGTTTGGCCATATATTCCATCAACACCCAGTATATTGAAATGATACTCATATTTTTATTTTTAAAAACGAGGAGAGAAAAATATCTCAAAAGCTAGAGAAATGTTCGAACTACAGACAGTATTCAAACTGTTGAAGATGTTTGTGAATATCTGATAAATTGATATTCATCATACAGGACGTGAAAAGAAATTCTGAATTGGAAAAACCTAATCACGAATCTACGATTGAAGGACTATAAAAATAACAAGTTTTGATCGTTCATGGTTATAATAATAATAATAATAATAATAATAATTTATTCACCAAGAAAAATACAATCATTGCACAAAATTAACAAAATGTTAATATTAAATATACAGCATTTTCGTGTGTTTTAACGATAAATAAATTTAGATACCACTAAAGGAATACCTTGAAAGTGGTGCCAGATAAACTATCGTTATGTGTGTATATGTGTTGGTAGGTGTGCTTGTTTGATGTGTTGCGTGAATAGTATAATAAAATTAATACATTGGGAGAGTAAACAATTGAAAACTAAGAGTATTATAGTGACTTGATATATCGAGAGAATAAAGTGACTGAATACATTATTATCTGACATCAACCCATTGAACTGCCGTTAACAATTTCATGTATTGGTTGAACCCCTTAATGGGGTGAAAGTATTAAAAAGGAATATTCACATATGGTATATTCATACAGGGTGTTTCATTGAGAAAGGTAAATAATCCAACTGTGGATAGGGGTCACTGAGGTGATTTCAAAAAACCCATGGTTGATGGGTCTTCGACTTCTTATAACCGAGATACAGGATGTTTCATCAATTTTGTCCATATCTTCATTGTCTCATAACTTTCCAACCAACCTGTATATATTTTTAAAAATTGGAACACCTGCTCAATATACCCTGTGGAATTGATTGAGGCAACAACAGAAGATAAAATCCAGGTCCGGCTTCACTTAAAATTCACAAATTCTTTCTGCCAGATAACAACACCCTATACATTTGAATTTCTCATTTTTTTTACCATATCTGAAATGTACATCAAAATTTCTATTCATCGATGTGCTTTTTATTCGTGCACAGACGATTTTAACTATTCATATTATGTGCTCAAAATATTATTTTTGCTCATTTTGGGGTACAAAATTGGAACCAGACGAGATTTATTAATATTACTTCCTATTCAGTATACGTGAGTATTACATTTAGAAGGAGTATTTCATATCGTTCTTTGTTCCAGACTCAGTTGCAGGTCCGTCATCAAAACTATACAGGGCTTTTCACGATGAGCGTTAATTTGACGTTTTCGGCAAACCAGGCAACGGATAAATCTGAAATCTCGATGGTATGTATAAATTAACATAATCTACACTACTGAAATATTTGAAACGATCCGGCCTTGCCGCTCCTACTAGAAAGTAGCAGTTACTCCGATTTTTCAAATGGGACACCCTTTATTTTATTACATTCTTGGATTCTTGCTGAACAGCAAAATTCATCGATTCAAAACATTCAAGGTCTAGCGGGACTGATAACAGATATAGGATGTGGAAAATCGAGATGTTTCAACTTTAGAAATGTTTTGTGTTGAAACTATTTATTATTGCATGGTCAAACCGGCTTCAATGTCCCTATCTCAACTTTCCATTCGATATTCAATTGAAACAGATACAGGGTGATGCAGAAATCTGAATTATAAACCATCCTGTATTTGTTTCGATTTAATGTCAATAGATACAAAGTTGAGATAGGGACATAAAAGCCGTTTTGATCGATAATAAATATTTTCGCAAAATAATTCTAAAGTTGAAACATCTCGATTTTTCTCACTCTGAATATGTCAGTTATTAGTCCCACTAGACCCCGAACTTTGTGAATCGATTAAATCAGCTCTTCAGGAAGCATCCAGGGTGTCCCATTTGAAAAATCAAAGTTACTGCTACTTTCGAGTAGAAGCGGCAAGGCCGGATTGTTTCAAATATTTCAGACGTGTAGATCATGTTAATTTATACATACCTTCGAATTTTTAGATTTATCCGTTGCCTGGTTTGCCAGAAACATGTAATTAACGCTTATCGTGAAAAGCCCTGTAAAGCTTTGATGACGGACCTGCAACTAAGTCTGGAACAAAGAACGATATGAGATACTCCTTCTAAATGTAATACTCACGTATACTGGATAGGAAGTAATGAAATTAATAAATCTCGTCTGATTCCAATTTTGTACCCCAAAATGAGCAAAAATATTATTTTGAGCACATAATATGAATAGTTAAAATCGTCTGTGCGCGAATAAAAAGCACATCGTTGAATAGAAATTTTGATGTTCTTTTCAGATATGGCAAAAAAAATGAGAAATTCGAATGTATAGGGTGTTGTTTTCTGGCAGAAAGAATTTGTTAATTTTAAGTGAAGCCGGACCTGGATTTCATCTTTTGTTGTTGCCCTCAATCAATTCCACAGGGTAGATTGAGCAAGTGTACCAATTTTTAATAATATATACTGGTTGTTTGGAAAGTTATGAGACAATGAAGATATGGACAAAATTGATGAAACATCCTGTATCTCGGTTATAAGAAGTCAAAGACCCATCATCCATGGGTTTTTTGAAATCACCTCAGTGACCCCTATCCACAGTTGAATTATTTACCTCTCCCAATGAAACACCCTGTATATAACATAAAAAATGGATATATATATGAAGAAATATTTTTTCTCGGTTTATTCAACAGAAATAATTATATTCCTAGCTATATGCCACGACGAACATTGATTTATATCTATTGAACACACACGATAAAAATTTTAAAACAAAATCTTCTGAAGTAGAGAATTTGCATTCTCCTTCATATGAATATATGTATATGCACATAAGATTATTCTGAATATTCAACAGAAAATAACTATAGAAAATATATTTTCCTGGCTATTTGTTACGTCGAACATTCAATTATATCTGTTGAACATCCAAAAAGAGAGCAGGAAAAATGAAAATCCTCTGAAATTCAGAATTGACATCATCTCTCAAACCGAATGAAATAATATGATGTTTTATATGATATACAAATTACCAACTTGATCAGTATTGAAATGAAAATTGAAATGTATAGGGGAAGTAAACTTGTATAAACTCTGATCTTGATGAGCTTGGAACTTCCAAGTTAGTTTATACAATTATACTTCTCCTATACATTCCAATTTCCATTTCAATAATGATCATGTTTGTCAGTTATATTTTAATATCATAATAGATCATATTATTTCATTCAATTTGGGAGATAATGGCAATTCTCAATTTCAGAGAATTTTCATTTTTCTTGCTATCTTTTTGGATGTTCAACAGATATAATTCAATGTTCGTCGTGACATATTGCCAGGAAAGTAGTTGTTTTTCATTGAATAAACCGAGAAAAAATTGATATTTTCATCACATAGAGAAAGTGATCCACGGTGGATGGCCTATTAGAAGTATCTGGAAAACGAAAATACAGAACATTCTGAAAATTGGGATGCTTCAATAATTGGACATTCTCTATCCGTCTGAAATATTTTCATCGATACAGTGTTGTCACTCCTATCAGAAACAACTAGCAACTTCGTTATTTCAAATGGAGCACCCTGTATTCCAATGCATTTTTAGATTCTTCCTGAAGAGCTGATTTCATCAATGCATCACACTTGGGGTCTACCAGGAATGATTACAGAGATATAGGGTGTTCAAAATCGAGATTTTTCAATTTTAGGATTTTTTTGTGTCGAAACTATTCATCATCGATCAAAACGGTTTACATGTCCCCATCTTAACTTCTGATTCACTCTCTACTGACATTTAATTGAAACAGATTCAGGGTGATCAGAATTCTGAATCATGAAGCACCCTGTATTTTTTTCAAATAAATCCCAGTAGACAGGGAATCAAGAGTTGAGGTAGGGACATGTGAGCCGTTTTGATCGATAATGGATAGTATCGACACAAAAAAATCCCAAAATTGAAAAATCTCGATTTTGAACACCCTATATTTCTGTTACCGTTCCTGCTAGACCCCAAGTGCGATGCATTGATGAAATGAGCTCTTCAAGAAGAATCCAAAAATGCAATTA